AAAGGGAGGAGAAGCTGAGGAGAGGAAGGAAAGGCAACAAGGAGAGGAGAGGACAAGAGATGAGAGGAGAGAAGTTGAGGAGAGGAGGTAAGAAAAGGAGGAGAGGAAGGAGGGGAGGAGACAGAGGAGAGGAGAGGAGGGGAGAGGAGAGGAGAGGAGGAGGAGAGGAGAGGAGAGGAGGAGGAGGAGAGGAGGAGGAGAGGAGACAGAGGAGAGGAGGAGAGGAGAGGAGGAGGAGAGGAGACAGAGCAGAGGAGACAGAGGAGAGGAGGAGAGGAGACAGAGGAGAGGAGGAGGAGAGGAGGAGGAGAGGAGACAGAGGAGAGGAGGAGAGGAGGAGGAGAGGAGAGGAGGAGAGGAGAGGAGGAGAGGAGACAGAGGAGAGGAGGAGGAGAGGAGAGGAGGAGAGGAGAGGAGCAGTGAGTTCTGTCGACAGGATTAAGAGATTAGAGGCCACTCCTGTTAATCTGAGGTCCACGTGGTGACGGGATGATGATGTCACACTTGGCAGCCAGTTAACACACACACCAACAGACACTAAGAATATCTCTGAAAACGACCACCCTGACCTCTGACCCCAAACAAAGGATCATCCCCATGGCAACCTGCAGCTGAACTAAACAGTCAGAGTCATATGGGGAACACCTGCTCAGATCGACCGACCAATCAGGCTTTAAATAAAAATAATAATAAATAATAATAAATAATAATAAATAATAATAATAAATAATAATAAATAATAAATAAATAAATAATAAATAATAATAAATAAAAATAAATAATAATAAATAATAATAATAATAATAATAAATAAAAATAAATAATAATAAATAATAATAATAATAATAATAATAAATAAAATAATAATAAATAAAAATAAATAATAATAAATAATAATAATAATAATAATAATAATATGATTTCAAGGAGTCCTGGATTCGTTTTTATAAAACCTTGGAACCCTTTCAAGGACTCTAAAGGTTTTCAAGGAGCCTCAGACCTTCTTCAAGGAATTCTCCAACCTCCATACAGACTCTGCAGAAACCTATATAGAAATCCTGCAATTTGATTGGCTATCAGGTGTTAGTGTCACACACGGTTGTGTGAACAGTTTAGGGGTTACCGTGGCAACATAGCAGATGCTCCTGACCATGAACTCTCCTCAAACCCACCAGACTTCATTCACAAAAAACGGTGACTAGGCCCCTCCTCCTCCTGAAGCTCCGCCCCCTGCAGGATGTAGTGTGTACATTTACTGCTGGTACCTACACTGCGAGCTAACGCACGCTAGCACAAGCTAACGGCCGGTGTTTGTCACCTTCCTGTCCAACAGGAAGTAGATCAACGCCACGTCCACGGGTTAAAGACAACACAAGGTTCACCCTCGTTTTAGAACGATCTTTATCCACTTGGTGTTTCTCCTCACTCTCATTATATTTTCTCTTTGCTGCTACGTCCACGTCCGTCATATTCACTCCTAAACTCACCTGCTGCGCTGTCATTGGCTGGAGGAAACACACCAGCTCCGCCCACAAACGTCCCGAGTCAACCGTCACAAATCAGAACAGTAAAATCCAGTCAGAGGACAGAGTCTCTGCAGACACAGTCACCACCACACATGTACGGAGGCCCAGAAGGGACAATGGAGCAGCTTCACTTTAGGAGAAGATGTATTTTATTTTGAAGGAGAAGTCTGTCTTTTATTTTGAAGGAGAAGTCTGTCTTTTATTTTGAAGGAGAAGTCTGTCTTTTATTTTGAAGGAGAAGTCTGTCTTTTATTTTGAAGGAGAAGTCTGTCTTTAAATATAAACATCAGCAATCTTCACAGCAGAAATCTTCTACCAAACAAATGTCTGTTAGTGTCTGTTCATCAACAGTATCTCACAGTCTCTAATGTTCTACTGATGTTGGTTTGAATCTCTAACCTTTGACCTTTGACCTTTATTATGAAACGGATCAACATCATCATGAAGAGACAAAATGTCCTCACAGAGACAGAAGAACCACAGAGTGTCCGCCCCAGGACAGCTCTGATCTCACTGAGCTGCAGGTCGTTTTATAATCAGCGGAGCGGAGAATCACTCGGTGTGTGTGTGTGTGTGTGTGTGTCTGTGTCTGTGTGTGTGTGTGTGTGTGTGTGTCTGTGTGTGTGTGTGTGTGTGTGTGTGTGTGTGTGTGTGTCTGTGTGTGTGTGTCCTTGGTAGGGTGACTGCAGTCCTCACACACACACACTGCAGGATAATAAATCTTGGTGATGCTTTAGGGAGGAGGGAGAAAGAGGACGAGGAAAGAGGAGAAGGGAAGAGGACGCAGCAAACACAAGAGGGAGAGGAGATAAGGAGAGAAGGATGCAAGGAAGAAAGGAAGGACTGATTCCTTTTTTTCACCAAGAAGACGGAAACCAAACGAGGAACAGTTTCAGTACTTTAGAGGAGGGTTGTCTCGATACCAGACTTTTAAACCTCGATTTCTAGTTACATCAAACAAAATCGACGCTGGTTTGTTACCACGGCAACAACAATAGAAGTCCTAGACGACCAAATAAATAACAGACAAACAAAAAAAGGTGTTGATTTGATAAAGTTTTTGGAACTCTTTGATCATGATAATAACAGTGATTGTATCGTTTTAGAAACACATGGTATGGGGGTGCCGGATGGCCTAGCGGTCATGTTGCACGCCCCACGTACGGAGGCTAAAGTTGTGGGTTTGAATCTGACCTCGACCCCTTGCGGCGTGTCGTCGCCTCACTCTCTCTCCCCTCTCTCTCTTCAGCAGCAAAGGCAACATGGCCAAATAATGGTATCAAATAAAATATCTACATTTTTTTTAATGAAAACACTGAAACGTTTTCTTCAGGGACGCATGAAGCCGAGGAGAGCTGAGATACATGAAGAGATGAAGGTTGTGGTCATTGTACCGGCAAGAATACAAAACTTCTGTCACCCCTGGAGTGGAGTGTCATCAGCTGTGCAGGAACTTTGACATCAATATAATAAAAACATTTTGACCTGATGACGGCGCTACATGTGAAGTCAGAGTCAGCTGATCCACATTTCAACACCATCAATCCAACAACGCTTTCTGAGATTTGAAGCTGTGCACAAAGAGTCTGCGGGAGTCAAAGCAGCTAATGTGGCTAAAAAAAACAAAAGAGCAGAATGCTCCTTTAAAGAGCGTCTGGCCTCAGATCAGTTTGATAAATCAGGAGTGAAGACGCTAACCTTTAGAGACACACAGAGAGGAAGAGTTACCGCCTGACCACGGCGTCTGTAATGTGAGAACTCAACTGTTTCTCTTGATTCTGTGTGATTTAACAAGATGTGACCTTCTCCTCCTCCCCCTCCTCCCCCTCCTTCTCCTCCTCCCCCTCCTCCCCCTCCTCCCCTCCTCCCCCTCCTTCCCCTCCTCCCCCTCCTCCCCCTCCTTCCCCTCCTCCGTGTGTGAACATGCAGACCTTTCTCGTCTCCGCTGTGTCCGGCTCAAACCTGCTCGCCGTGTGAACGAGACCTTTTCAGGTGAGAAGAAACATCTCCTCTTTCTTTCTCTGTCAGCAGTTTGTCTCAGTTTGTAAAGTTCAGAGTTGACAAAGAAAAGGACCACACACACACACACACACTCACACACACACACATATACACACACACACAAACTCACACACACACACTCAAACACTCAGCAGTCACAAACTCAAATAAAATGGTGAATTAAATGGACTATTACGCTCAAAGGCCGCTCCCTTTTCCTGAATTAAAAATATTGTTTCCAGCAGCAAACTCCAGGAAAATGCCATAAACTGCAGTTCCTCCAGTGTCCACTAGAGTCTGTCTCCTGCAGTGAGTCAGTCCCCATAGAGCTCTATGTTAAAATGTCTAACTTTACAGCTGCAGTTCCTACAGTGTCCACTAGAGTCTGTCTCCTGCAGTGAGTCAGTCCCCATAGAGCTCTATGTTAAAATGTCCAACTTTACAGCTGCAGTTCCTACAGTGTCCACTGGAGTCTGTCTCCTGCAGTGAGTCAGTCCTGTGTGTGTGCAGCAGTGTGTAACAGTTGTTTTGAAGGTGTGTGTCTGAGCTCACAGGGAGTCAATGATAAACCTGCAGTCAGCTAAACTAACTTCACTGTCAGCTGTTAGACACGGGAGTCTGAGTCGTGGGTTTTGCTTTTTGTTTGAATCGTTTATAAGATCATTTTAAGATGAAGGGTTTGAAGGACTGACTTCCTGAGGACGATCTCAGTTTGTCTCATTGTTTTATTTGACTTTATTTGAGGTTTTTATTGACTTTCATTTCACTTCTTTATACCTTGAATATTGACTGGTGGAGGACAAGTAGAGGACAGGAAGCTGCAGCAGTGATTTGTTTTGTGTCTGTCCGTACATGAGGCTGTAACTCCTGCACACTTTCTAAGTTGTACAAAAACTTTGACAAAGTTTCTCTGTGCAGGAAACACGTCTGAAACTTCTGACCATTAAAAACTAACTCTGAGAGTCGAGGATGAAATGTTTGTTATCGTGGAATCAAACAGGTGAAATCAGCAAATCAAAGTTTAATGTCATGACAACTGTAGTGCACAGTGAACATTCAGTGAAGCAGCAGGTAACACAACCTCTGCATGGTACACACACACACACACACACACACACACACACACACACACACACACACACACACACACACACACACACACACACAGAGATCATCATGTTCTGAAAGCTGATCAGTTCAAAGCGTCTTTTCCAACATGAATCATCTGTTAAAACTGAAGCTTCTTATTTTACAGCTATGGGACCTTCCTGATAGACCACGCCCCTTTCAGTGAAGCCCCGCCCACTTCATGTATAACACCACATTTATTTGTCTGAACAAAATGATGAGTACAGTACAAGTTCCATGTATTGAGCTGTGATTGTGGAAATAAGAGGGGGCGGGGCTTATTCAATCTTAGGGGCGGGGCTTCAGTAATGCATGTTTGTTTGTGTGTGTGTGTGTTGCTCTCACCTCCTCCGTTCTTGTAGCACAGGTAGGGGAACCTCCACACGTTTCCGAGTCCAACAGCGAAGCCGACGCAGGACATGATGAAGTCCATCTGCCGCGTCCATGTCTCGCGCTCCTGGTACGCCGGCACCGCCCCATTGGCCACGCCCACTTTCTTCTCGGGGCCAGCAGAAGCACCACCGGCGGACCCTGTCACCCCGACCCCAGTGGGACGAGGCTGCCGTTAGAGGCCGAGGTGGGTAACCACCGCCACTGCCATTCAGCCAATCAGAGCCGTTCAGGGGGCTCTTCTTGGTCTCCTCCAGGAGGACCAGAGAGCAGGAGGAGGCGGGCAGAGCCTGCTTCTCCATCAGCCAATCAGGAAACAGATGTTAAACCAGGGAGGAACGGGTGTCAAAAATTCTGTCTTCTTTTCACTCCTGCAAGATTTTGTTGTGTTTGTGTCTCTCTTCACACACCGAAACCAGTCAGGAACCAGTCAGGAACCAGTCAGGAACCAGTCACAAACCAGTCAGGAACCAGTCACAAACCAGTCAGGAACCAGTCACAAACCAGTCAGGAACCAGTCAGGAACCAGTCACAAACCAGTCAGGAACCAGTCACAAACCAGTCAGGAACCAGTCACAAACCAGTCAGGAACCAGTCAGGAACCAGTCACAAACCAGTCAGGAACCAGTCACAAACCAGTCAGGAACCAGTCAGGAACCAGTCACAAACCAGTCAGGAACCAGTCAGGAACCAGTCAGGAACCAGTCACAACCAGTCAGGAACCAGTCAGGAACCAGTCAGGAACCAGTCACAAACCAGTCAGGAACCAGTCACAAACCAGTCACAAACCAGTCACAAACCAGTCAGGAACCAGTCACAAACCAGTCACAAACCAGTCAGGAACCAGTCAGGAACCAGTCACAAACCAGTCAGGAACCAGTCAGGAACCAGTCAGGAACCAGTCACAACCAGTCAGGAACCAGTCAGGAACCAGTCACAAACCAGTCACAAACCAGTCAGGAACCAGTCAGGAACCAGTCAGGAACCAGTCACAAACCAGTCAGGAACCAGTCAGGAACCAGTCAGGAACCAGTCAGGAACCAGTATGTATCTCTTAGATTCCCTTTAATTTCTTTCCAGTCAGACTTTTATTCCAGTTCCTCACTGTGTTTTATTTTCCAGTCAAACCAGTAACACTTTCAGTCTCTTAACTGGTCTCTAACTTTAATTCAAAAAAGTTTCAACTCTTGAATTTGTCTTCTTAGTTTTCAACCTGTTTGCACCAGAAACCAGTCAGAAACCAGTCAGAAACCAGTCCTCACAGGTCTGAGGTCTTGCCCCCCTTCTTGACTCCGGTTCGGTTCTCCTCCTGAAGCAGATGAGTCCCGCACGGTCCCGCACGGTTCTCCTTCTGCTCCCGTTCCTTCTTCTTCTTCTTCTTCTTCTTCTTCTTCTTCTACAGTGATAATAAATGTAGTTTTCTTCAGCTCGAGCTGCGGGACGATCACATCAGACTTTCTGTAATTATCAGATTTTAATCCAAACGGATGAGTTCAGGTTTAAAAAAAAAAAAGACAAATAAACTGAGTGACTGAGATTAAGGTGCACACTTCTCCTTCTCCAATCAACGCGAGAGAAAACGATAAGTAAATAAAAATCAAATGATAAAATAAAGGGAGATTCACCGACTGTCGGACAGCGACCTTCAAAAACAATCCACGAAACACTTGAATGTGAGTCTGAAGAATCGCATGGAGAACAGAGAGTCACGGAGGAGACGGCGGCCTGCGGGGACGAGAGGACGGAGAGGACGACACGGTCACGCAGATCACTGCGGAGCTGCGGGGCTTCAGTCCCGGCTGCGGCGTGCGGCGGCGGGCGGCGGGCGCTGCGGTTGTCTGTGCAGGAATTGTTGCAGCTCCATCCACGGAGGAGGAGGAGGAGGAGAAAGGAGGTGAAGGAGAGAAGGAGAAGAGGAGAAGAGGAGGAGGAAGAATAAAAGAAATGTCGGAACGCGTCCGGCTCCGTTCAGCTGTCAGGTGTCCCGTCAGAGGAGCTCTGAGGTATTTAAAGTCTGTCTGTGTGTCTGTCCGAGCCGCGGCTTTAAAAGGACAAGAGGCTGCTCACGGTGACGTCACACAAACACACACACACACACACACACACACACACACAAGGCCCCGCCCCATTCTCCCCCTCTCCTCTCTCTGTTAGACGTCATCACCTCACCCCCCTCCTCCGTTTTTAATCTACATCTTTGACGTCACGGGGTCCCCTCCATCTCACTCACACACACACACACACACACACACACACACACACACACACACACACACACACACACACGCACACGCACACACATTTATGAATCACAGACTGAACATAAAGCGAACGCAGCCTCTCATTACAAAGGTGAAGCCAGTGTTTGAGTTCCTCATACTTGCATTCTTTCTAATGTCCAGCAGGGGGCGACTCCGACATCCAGAACTAAAGTCAACCTGAAACTGTTGAATTGATTCCTGGTGGAGTCATCACAGTCATGAGTGTTTCTGCTGGGAAGTCTTTGAGTCATGTGTTCCCTCATCAGAACATTTCAGTTTCTATCTGAATCTGTGAAGTTTCAAGTTTTGTTTCTCTCTCAGTGTAAAAGTGGCAGTAGCCCCTCCCCCAGGTGGGTGACTCCTCCCACAGCTAGGTGTTTGTTCTGCCCTCTGAGTCTGCCTTCATGACATCACAAAGGGCAGTAGCCCCTCCCCCAGGTGGGTGACACTCCCACAGCTAGGTGTTTGTTCTGCCCTCTGAGTCTGCCTTCTCACCGTAAACAATAGGACATGGAGCGAGAAAGACAGAGACACCCAAGCCCTTCCAGAGAGGGGGCGTGGTCAGACACAGCTCATTTACATATTTAAAGGTACAGACACAGAAACAGCCTGTTCTGAGCAGGGCTGAAATAGAGGGGTTTATAGACATGATCAAATACAGGATCAGAGTGGATTTAGAACAAGAAACTTCACACACATGTTTTGAGGAGCTCTGAGACTTATTTAAACTGAAGAAGAGGAGGAGGAGAATATGTCACCTTTAAACTGTTCAGATTAATTAAAGGGACAACATTTTAATCTGAACTTTTATGAACTGTTGGGAAGTTTTCTTTGTGACTGAACATCAGAAGAAGAAGTATCGTTATTAAAAATGTTGGTTGTTACCTCGGCCTGTGTCTCTTTAATTATTTATGCACTGTGTGCGGGTCACAGATAAAGAAAGACCGGGGTAAATTTAGATCGAGGTTTCACATCCGGCGACTTAATCATCGTGAACACAGACGAGTTTCATTCTGCGTCAGACATTAAAAATGTCTAATGGTGACCAGACGTTTAAATAAACTAACAACCGGTCACAGGAGGTTGATTCATGTTCTGTTACTTCATCCACGCTAACAGCCATTAGTTTATAAAGGTGAACACTCACCTGTCAGACGAGCGTCACCTGCACACAGATCAGGTGGAGGAGGTGGAAAATAGAAGAAACACAGCATTAGTGGTTTGGAGGGAGCTGACTAATACCTGGAGGATCAGACTAATACCTGAGAATGAGTGAAGAGTTCAAATACCTGGAAATGATTGAACGGTCAAGACTAATACCTGGTACATGAGAAACAATTTCTTCAACAGAGGGCAGTAACTGAAGCTACATGGTGCTGGCTAACACCTGGGTGTGAGCAGGAGAATGTATTTGAGGGGCTGTGACTATGTCCTGGAGTAACTGAGTGCAAGGAATTTTGAGATTTTGTGTTGTGATTATATGTACACGGACTAATTCCTGGAAATTAACAGAACTCCTAGAAGGGCTGCACATAACATCTTAACAATGATTCTGGCTAATTCCTGACATTGTTTTCAGTGGAGGGCCCTGACTAAATCCTGAGATTATATAAAAGTTCAACTAATAATGATCCAATGGTGAGGAGAAGAGGGTTTAAATGGTTTTGTGAAGTGATCAAAAACAGTGAACACTGACTAATACCTGGAATGGAGCAGGAACCTTTACTTCCAGCTAATATCTGGAGCCTGGATGGACCTGACTAACACCTGAGATAAGAGAGGAAGGTCCAGACTAATACCTGGCTCTGTGCTCCTTTCAGTTACACACATCATGTGCTGATGTTTCCAAACTCAATCTGTAACGCTGAAAGGTTTATTCAGATTTTATTCTTTCTACCTATGGTCAGATGTTTGATCCTGAAGTTTCTGCCCTGTGTGTGTGTGTGTGTGTGTGTGTGTGTGTGTTGGTGTCATGCTCTGGATGGGAAACCAGTGACTCTCTGAACAGTCACTGTCTCCCCCTGCTGGTCTCTGGTCTCAAACTGCAACCAACATGTTTTATATCTGACAGCAGGAATCTGGAGATTATCTGTGAAATGAACATCATTTTTTTAAGGTTCATTATAAGAAACATGTCACTCACTGTGATGTTAAAGGGTTTACAGTAAATTTAATGCAGTTTTAATTAATTACGCTTAGAAAGATGTTTAAAATGAGCAGACAGCTGTTTGCAGCTCGTGTTTGCAGTGTGACAAAGACGATACAAAACACTGAAGACAAATTAAAAAAACGCTTTGGTGCTCGGGGACAGAATCTGAAGCGTCATCTTGCGACCTCAGATCCTCGGGGGGGGGGGGGGGGGGGCTTCTGGTTGTCCCAAAGTCGAGGCTCTCTGGTCCAAACAAATGCAGAACATCCAGGAGGAAAATGGACGGATGGAAAGTTCCATGTGTGAAAGAAATGAAACTGAATCTTTATGTTTTTTTTTATCACCAGTTTATTTCAGAGTGATTTTATGGAGTTCCTCCACAAAGGGAAAGAAACAGTTTGTGACAGCATGATGTTTGATTTCCTCTTTAATGTCTCAGTTTGACTTCAAGCTTTAAAACAGACGCAGACTGTTCAGGAGGCAGCGAGGTGAGAAACACTGTAAACTTTCACCTTAAAAGGTCACTTGAGGTCGACTTTCTCTTTCAGCTTAATTCAGTTTTCCGCTGGTCGTTTTCAGCGCTGAGGCACTTTAGTGTTTAAAACTTTAACAGGAAATGACATAAAAGTTTTCTGTTCTAGATGTTCAAGGTATGATCGAGACGTTCAGAGTAGACGTCCAGAAGATGTTGCACTTTAGCACCAGTCTCTCTCTTAGTGTGGAAACGGCTTATA